GATTTAATATTATTAATAAGCTTTTTAATTTATTTTATAAAATATGATGTATTAGAAGTGATGATACAGCCTATAGTATATAGTATACATTAATGTCAAATGTAATATATGTCAAATAAAAAACCTAGCTCCAACCGATCGGTCAATGCCCCTTAAATTTTGGGGTACAATCAAAATTAGCCCTGACGAATGTAACAGTAAATAATATAGTAATTCCATGAGTTCTCGTTTATTTGAAACCTAAATTTTATAAAGCAAACCTTTTATATATTGTCTAAAAGTCAAGTTATTGTGCAGTAATCACTTTAGACCAAACTTTTCAAAATCAAGGTATGTACTATGAATTTTCGTCATATCAAAACAAAAGTTGCGTCAAAATTTTCTAAACTTTTAAACGAAGATATTTCAACAATCTGATCAAAATTAAATGAAATTTCTATTGGAATTCTATAAAATTCAAGTAAAAATAATTTCATCAAATTTAATTAAGTGGTTTCTGCGATATTTTCACAATACGTTTATTAAATTGAAACTGCGTCAAATTTTCTTACAACTTTGAGTGAAGTGAAAAGCAACCACCTGATCAAATTCGATGATTATTTTTTATATTTGAATTCTACAGATCTATAGAATTCAAATAAAAAAAAAGGTTTATTGAATTTGATCAGATGGTTGCTTAAATACCTTCGCTTAAATTTTTATGAAACTTTAACAGATTTTGAAAAGTTCGATCTAAAGTGATTACTGCGCAATAACTTGACTTTTATATATTATATTATTGTTTTTTTTTTTTTTATAAAATTTATTCTCAAATAAGCGAGAACTCATGGAATTACTACATTTTTTACTCCTGTATTATAAGCGAATTTTTTTTTTGATTTTGTTTTTAAAAAAAGTTTTAAGCAAGGATATCTCAGCAACTGCCTGATCAAATTCGATGAAAATTTTTTTTATTTGAATTCTATTGATTAATAGAATTCAATTAAAAAGAAATTCATTGAATTTGTTTGGATGGTTGCTGAGATATCTTCGCTTAAAGTTTTAACCAAAATTCGGCGTAGCTTCAATTTTTTAATAAAATTTGAGCTAAAATATCAAATTTGTTGAATGTTTTTTTTATTGAATTCTATAGGTTTATAAAATTCGAACGGAAAAAAAATTTTATCGCATTTGATCAAATGGTTACTGAGAAATCGCAAAAGCCACGCAGCGATTTACAAATTAATTAAAAGTCGCATCAATTTGCAAACCGCGATAAAATCTTTTTGAGACCCTTTTGTGCAGTGAAATTTGGCATTCTCTTACAGTTGAAATACTTGTTAGCTAAATCTTTAAAAATGTACTTTAAAAATAAGTTACCCGAGCAATTGATAATCCTTCTATGAGGCCAAGGCAAAGTTCGATCAATCAATGAATTGACTAAGCGAGCTGACGCTAAACCTATTAAATTTATGTCATTATTACATAATATTTATACAATGTATAATATTTATACAATGTATAATGTTTATACAATGTATAATTCAATAATGCTCATAGTGCGATTGCGAGTGACTATCCTAATATAGTAAGTTTTCGACAACTTGGCAAACTTGTTATTTAGTCGTGGGTATGCAGGTACTATGCATCTCATTAATGCTTAATTTGAAATTTCTTTTAATGAGGCACTTTTTTCGTACTAAGATATTCCTTACGTACTAATTTTGTTATATAAATTATTCTAACCCCAAATATTATGATAATGAAAATAGAATGACAATTAAAATTTCGCTGTCAATCTTATGTCAAACTTGATTGAGACTCCCTTAATTGGTTAAAATTCAATATCAATGTTCCATAGAATATTTAAAAATGAATAATTTAAATTCGATTTTGATAAGTATGTTCTAGTATATCGAATTTTCATAATTTGAGGCAGTTTTTGGAATTACATAAATCGCAAATTACTAGTGCATATTGTTATAAGTAGTAACTTATGTTTTTAAATTTAATATACAAATTAATACAAATTAATACTTAACGTTAAATACTGAAATAAGCAAACTTTTGCCTACGTACAACAGAGTAGATTATATATATAAATGGCACGCAATTAGTTAATTAGTTAATTATAATAACCAATAAAGAATGAGATGAGCCTACGTATTATATGTTAACGCTTTATAATGATAAAGGATAAACAAAAATCCGGAAAAAATAATCTGATGTACTTAGTATGACATTCGGCAATCGGCAACTTTAGGGCACAGTAAAGATAATACGTATATTCACGTTATTATCCAATATCTTGATTTTTACGTAATGATAATAACAGATAAAAACTGTATTTGCAAGATGCAATCTGATTACGTAGATTCTCGACATTAATGTTGTAATGGTTTGAATGTTATTTGTGAGAAATAGTATAACGTCTGATTTCGCATGATGTCATTACATATCTGACCGTAATCCTAAAGTTGTGCTAAATGCGCAGTAAGGTTAATGTTTGAACCTTATTCCTTCATGAGCAATGATTAGTAATTGTAAAAATGATTTTCTAGGCAATTGGGCGTAACAATTATTAGGTTGCGCGAATATCCGCATATGTTAATTTCGGATAAATCCGTAACAATATTGGATTACCTTTTGGTTTGTCATTTGCTCACTTTCAAAATTATATTATAGCTATATATATAAGTTGGTCGATCAATAATTTTACGGACTAAACCACATCAAATCCGAGTTTACTCAATTTGAATTATAATTCACCTACTACAATTCACAGAGAGCAGGGTATTCTACTATATAGAAACTTGAATATCTTAATGCGCAGTAACTATATAGTACTATGGGTAGCTATATAGTTGCTATTAAGTTTAATAGCGGCTATACAGTTACTGCGCAGTTATTGTGCATTAAAAAATCAAAGTTTCTGTAAAGTAGTCAAATAACAATAATTGATTTCATGGTTCCTAGTCAAGGGACTCGGAATAAATCAGTTCGTTAAATTATTATTACCATATAAAATCGACAAACTATATTATTTAATAAACTGCTTTCAATTACTAATACCAATCATTATTGTTACGAAAGTATTTTGATGATCTTTTCCGTTTAGTATTGTAATTTTGGCGATACATTCTTATTACAGTATAGAAACGGTTCAATAAATTACCGAGGAAATAAAATTTTATCCTACGGAAAAAATATTTAGCACGAGCCAACTATATTCTGCGTGGAAAATAAATTTTCTGATTATCTATAGAAACGTCATTTTACATTGCATATTTTAATCAAATTTATGTTCGATACTTTATTATATCAATGTCTCTTAATATATCTTTTATCCGAAAGAAAAATTATAAAAGGCCGTGATTTCGAACGATGTAGACTTTAAAGAATTTTCAGCTTGTAAATTGTCTTGTAGATTGTCTTGTAGATTTGACTGTAAATTTTCTTCAATTAATTTTCCCGTTTAATTTCTATAAAAAAAAAATACTATTAAAAATAATCTAATAGCATAACATATAAAGCATATAAAGTATACATAGCATACATACATAATAATAGTTATCTACATACATAATAATAATTAGCAATTACTAAAAAAAAAAATGTTACAAAACCAACCCACATTACATGATGAAGTAGACCTTGAACGTCAGGCGACGTTAGTGTCAAGTGCAACTGTAACAATAAAAACTATAAAAAATGTCGATGATGTGATTGTTAAATCGTCATCGCCTGACGATACCTTATTACATGGTGTTGAATTATTTTGGGTTGTCTTGGGGTTCGTAGTATCCATTTCCTGTCCTGTTGTTCTCATTCTATGATCAAGTTATACTTACGTACGTACAATATTATAGTCTAGGATGTGCTGTATTTTTAGCCGCTTTAGATCAAACAATTGTTTCCACCGCTTTACCTAAAATAGTTTCAGATTTTAATGGATTGGATCAAATCGCATGGGTTGCAACTTCTTATCTACTCACAACGGTAATTATACATCAATTTCCATTTTGTTCGAATTATATATCATGTGGTACTCACGTGAATAACGTTATCAACACAGACTTCCTTCCAACCAATCTATGGAAAATTATCTGATATTTTTGGTCGTAAAGCAACTTTCTTAGTTGCCATTGGTATCTTTGAATTGGGCAGTTTGTTATGTGGTGTTGCCAACAATATGGTAATATAACATATCTTTTTTAACTTTCATTTTCTCATTTCTTAATTTGAATATTCATCATCTTTTTATTTTTTAGATTTCGATGATAATATATCGTGCAATTGCTGGTATCGGAGGTGGTGGTATAATTGGGTACGTACTTTATTGCTGTATCGATTTATATTAAATTTTTATGCATGCTAAATTTTACTTTTTTTATTTTTTAGCCTCGTCTTAATTATTATTTCAGATATTGTCAGTACTAAAGATCGGGGGAAATACCAAGGTATTGTTGGCGCATGCTTTGGTATTGCTTCTGTAGCAGGCCCTCTCATGGGTGGTGCTTTTACTGACCATATTAGTTGGAGGTAAGCATGTCAAGGGTGGTTACCTTATTATCACAAAAAACCTATCCATATTATTATCGTTTTATATTACGTCAGCCTAAAACTCATCATATTTTTCCCCAAAAAAAACAGATGGTGCTTCTTCATCAATCTTCCTTTAGGTGCATTAACAATAATCGCTGTAGTTTGGTTTCTTCACCTACCAAAACCATCCGGTTCATTCCTTGAAAAAATTAGGAGAGTTGATATTATTGGCACCACTATAATGATTTTATCAACTGTTTGTATCTTATTATCTCTAAATTGGGGTGGCAATACTTATGCTTGGAATAGTCCCTTGATTATAATATTTCTATGCGTCGGCGCATTCGGGTACATAATATTTGTTCTTGTTGAACATTACGTTGTTATTGAACCCGTTGCTCCAAGTAAGTATTCATGTCTGATTTATTTTACAAGAATTATTATAATAATTAATCCATTATATTATCGGTATTTAAAATTTTACTTATTTATTTATTTATTTTTTATTTAATAGCTCGTTTATTTAAAAAACTTAATGTCGTCGCATGTTTCCTCACAAGCTTTTTTCAAGGAATGGTATTCTTTAGTTATATTTTTTATGCTCCACTTTATTTCCAAGTTGTAAGAAATGATACAGGCAAGTATATATATCAACTAAATTTCAATCCTTAATTAAACATCAAACAAATTTAATAACCTACATGTTTCTCTTTAAAACAGCAACACAATCTGGAATAGATTTCATGCCATACATTCTTGGTATAGTAGCTTTCTCAATCCTATCCGGTCAACTATTCTCTCGAACAGATAAGATATCGTTTCGATTAGTGACTATGATTTCCGCGGCATTTGCAATAGTCGGTGCTGGATTAACCACTATGTGGAATGAAACATCTGGATATGGTGAATATATAGGATACATGTTAGTTGCTGGTGCTGGAGTTGGTGCAAGTATTCAATCTATTGTACTATGCGTTCAAGGATTGGTTGAGCCGAAGGATATAGCTACTGTTACTACTTTAAATTTATTCTTTAGAAGTAGTAAGTATTCATATATATATGTATTAGTTTGTTCGTAAAAATTATTAAATTATTTTACTAATTCATTATCTATATTTTTCTCTTTAGTTGGGGCTGTTTTTGGAATTGCAATATCAGGAGCTGCATTTAATAATAAACTTTCTCAAGAATTAAGTACTTTAAATTTACCTCCTACCTTTTCAACACAATCTGTATATACTATATATTCATTACCTCCAGATACATTGCCATTAGTTATTCATGCCTATGTATCAGCATTTCAATTTACCTTTGCGCTTGCTATACTATATGGTGCATTAATGTTTATTTCATCGTTGTTTATGGGAAATAGTAAACCAATGTTTAGGAAGGGTGAAGAAGTCGTTGATATTCCTGTATTTGAATAATTTAATTAGTTAGCAAAATATTAGATGATGTATAAGAAAAAAAATCCAAAAATTGAATAAAAAAAAATTAAATGCAATTAAAAATTATCATTTTTTTTTATGCTTCGTTCTTTTTTCTATCTTAAAAGATTTTTTTTTTAGGAGTGAAGGTTAGGATTTGATCAGGTCTATACTATGTTGTCTTATTGATTTGGCCAATAAAATTCTATAATCCAATCTAGTGATTAACTTGTAACTTATGAATTAAACTTTGAAGAATGTTCAAATCATTTAAAGTTATTATTCAAATTTTATTTGAATAACAAAACTATAATTTACAACTGTAACTTATTATAGAATTAGAATTTTAAAAAATCTATACTATAATTCTTAGTTATGCTTTTTTAGTTGATCTTTAGTATAGGTGAGCAAATATAATTATTGTTCGAAGGACTTACATTTTCAGGTCACTAGCAAAATTTCCACCCACATGATCATGCATAATCATCACGCCTGCGTTGTCTGTTCACGCACGTGATTATATCAGGAACGAATGTAATGAGCGTATCGATCATATGCTGTTTGAAGTGGATTTGTCCACGAAAACTTAAGCTTGATTGGTCCGCATGATTTATTCATCAAAATTGGTTATTTTTACAAATGAATTCATCACGCGTATAGATCATGTGCATTCGGATATGTAATTACGAAGAATAATTTGAATACAAAAAAATGCAAACGTAAGCGATGTCGTAGTTGCAATAATTTTAGACGCAAAACTTGGTAATCCGATACAGATTAATTTGTCTATTTATCTGATACTTAACATTTTTCATTTTTCATAGGATTTTTTATTGGGTGATAATCAATTACCGTCAAAGAATAATTTTTCAGATAACCTGATAATTTATTATATGATGCCTTGTAAACTTTTGTTTGATTAGCTAATGCGAGTCAATTGCCTAAAATGTATATTAAATGCTTCACAATATATTAATGAGATGCTTGATTAGTTCTCATTGGTACGTTATTTGGATTATTTGTTAACTACAATATTTGCTTTCATTCCTGGTTTCTAGCATGACTATGTTATGCAACTTTCTCATATATAAAACATATGTAACATACTATGTGTCTGATCATCCACATGACTAATTATATAAATTATTGACAATTTTTTTAATTCATTACAAATTTACAATTGTACCTGTTATTCTAGTATGTATATAATTATAGTATATATAAATTAATTATTTTGAATTAATTTATAAAATTATTAGAATCTGAATTAAGGTTATAATATAAATTGATTTAACAAAAAAACTTTTCTGTTGATCTTTACTTTTCAACAAAACAAAAATAAATATATAAGAATAATATAAGAAATAAATTAGTAAATTTCTTTTAAGCTTTTAGAAAAAATATTTCAATTTACAAAAATATCAGATGTAGTTTTAATACTGGTTTTTATATAAACTTCAGTTTTGTTTCTTACAAGTTTTAGGTTTTGGTAATCAGTAAGAAAAATTACCTATTATTAATTTATTATAATGCATCTTTTAGTTATATAATTATTTTTTTTATTAAATTAATTATTTGTTTTTTAAATTAATTATATTTTTTATAATTATATTATTAAAATAAAACTGTAAAATAATTGAAATTTTTTATTTTAATTAATAAGATATAATTTTTGTTGCAATTAATAAGTTAAATAATGGTTTGTTAATAATAAATACCAAGTATTAGTAGTATAGTCAGAGATTTTAGACTTTTTAAAACTACTTTACAATATATATTTAAGAATAAAAATTTATCTAATTACTATAGTTTATCTACTATTCTTATAAAATATAAAAAAAGAGGATGGCGATCCTAGTGTAGTGGTTGGGTTGTCATCCTCCAAGTGGCAGGTCTAAGGTTCAAATCCCACCTACG